TTCATGGTTAATATTTTTCTTGTCCTTCTATCTAGGTGCGTGATTTCTTCTTCCGGCCGGTCTACGAGGCCAAAACTATATTCTATTACAGGAACTGCTAATGTGCCGACGGCGGTTATCTTATTTCTTCCATTCAGTTCCGACTGTAATATAAGCCTCAATCTTTTAAAATATTCTTTCTTCAACCGAGGTTTAATTTCCTTGTTGGCTATTCCAAAATTTTCTTCAATCCCCAGATATTTGTATGATGATCCAGGGTCCAATTCTTTAATAAGTTCTTCTTCGGAGTCTTCTATATTTTGCTTTTGTTTTAACTTTCCTCTGACAATATTTATTCTGGCACATTTCTCTAACCCAAATTTCATGTTGATGTCAGAGGAAAAGGTTTGAACCGTCCGTAACATTTTATTTAACTCCTCTTCATTTTTGGCATAAATTTTTAAGTCATCCATATATAGCATATGGGTAATTTTCCTGCCTCTTATTATTATTATTATTATTATTATTATTATTATTATTATTATTATTATTATTATTATTATTATTATTATTATTATTATTATTATTATTATTATTATTATTATTATTATTATTATTATTATTATTATTATTATTATTATTATTATTATTATTATTATTATTATTATTATTGGTTTTAAAACGACGAAAGAATTTTTTTTTTTTAAAGTGGCAGAAGAAAAAATCAAAATCAAAATATACGAATACGTTTTTTTTTTTTTCGAATTTCCATTAATTAAGTGTAATATTAATAATAATAACGTTTTCTCTCTTTCATTCTCTCTTTCTCTCTCTCTCTCTCTCTTAATGTTCACCGTAATTATTATTAAGTAAATTTTTTTCTCTCTCTCTCTCTTCGAAGGTTAACGATGATTTTAATTAATATATAAATATATTAAACAACAACCTTCGTAAACCTTCTTGTAATTATTATTATTATTATAATTACTGCAAAAAAAAACCATTACATGCTGCGTTTAAATTGTAACGTAATTATTTTGTTTGTTTGTTTGTTTGTTTGTTGTACGTGGAATTTTTTTTCCTTTTTTTTTTTTTTTTTTTTTTGTTTTTCGATCAACAAGTTATAAACAAATATATATTATTTACTTTCGAATAACGATTTTGGAAAATAATAAATGTTTTTCGAGAGAGAGAGAATGAGAGAGAGAGAGAGAGAGAAAGAGAAAGAGAGAGAGAGAGAGAGTGAAAGAGAGAGAGAATGAGAAAGAGAAAGAGAGAGAGAGAGAAAGACAGGGGGAAAATTCCATTCAGCAATAAATTATTTATAATTTAAACGATTACATGTAAGCACCATCATCATCATCAAAACAACAGAAAATAATTTAAATAATAATAATAATAATAATAATAATAATAATAATAATAATAATTTTCTTTAATTACACTTGACGATTTTACCTTGAAAATCCAACAAACACAAAACTACAATGTAACTATTGAGATTACATTCGAAATAAAATAAAAATAAAAACCACTCGAAATGTATCATTTGAACACAATAAAAAAAAAAAAAAAAACAATTTCAAAACACTATTATTATTATTATGTTTACGTACGATGAAAACAAGGACGTAAAAAAAAAAAAAAAAAGTTTACGAAAAGAAAAGAAAAGAAAAGAAACATTAGGTAAACGCTACGCTCCATCCCCCTCCTCCTCCTCCTCCCCGAAAATTTATTTTTAAGTAAAGCAAATGGAAAGTTAATACAAAACAAAAAAAAAACCTAAGGGGAGTAAAAGAAAAAGTTTAGTAACAGTAGTTACGCGTATTTTATAAAAAAAATGGCGGGTCGTTAATATCATTATTATTTCTACAACAACGACAACAACAACAACAAAAATAATAATAATTTTGTGCGAACGTAAAAAAAAAAAAACATTATTATTATTATTACGAGAATTTCGAGCAAGAGAGAAAAAAAAAACTCAACGACAGCTGATAATGTGCTGTTGGATTGGGGGGCGAGGGCGAGGGCGAAGGCGGGGACGGGAGCGAAGAGGAAATTGATTAAATTCAAATTTTTTTTTTTAATATGAAAAAAAAGAATAATCTAGAAAATCAATAGATAATTTAACTAGATAATGATTTTAGGCCAACCTACGATTATTATCATTATCATTACTTATTAAAAAAATTATTAATTTAAAAACAACAAACAATGTGAAAATAACGTTCCTATTAATAATAATAATAATAATAATAATAATTTTTAATTAAAAAAAAAGTAAGAATTGCGCGGTACGTGTGCGTTTGTGTTTGTGTTTGTCTTTGCGTTTGTGTCTATGGAGTCATAGGATGTGTAATAATATAAGGACATAAATTGACAGTTAATATTAGCACTTTAATCACGCGGGCGGAGACAAACGACAAACAAGAAAGAATTCGAAACAATGGCCTGATGTCGATATGGCAAAGGTAGTAGCTAGAGCCCCAGTCGTAATAATTACGCATACTTCCTTTTTAGTTTTTAATGAAAATTTTTAAATTATATTTTATTTCAATGTTACGTACGCAACATACCACTCACGCAAACACGCACGCACGCACACACTATAGTACAAACGAAACATTATCGTCTGTTTTTTTGAACCTGAATCGATCCTTTTCCCTTTTTTTCTTTCTTTTCTTTAAATATTACCCAATACCATTTGAATTTTTTTTTTCTTTTTCGCCCACGGCAACCTCGTTTACCAATCCTACACTTAAAAACAAACAATTATTATTATTATTTTTTTTTGTACAACAACCTACAACAAACGCGCAACGTGTTTTTTTTTTTTTTTACTCTTTTAAATCTGTTGAATTTTTTGCATGTTTAAGTAATCGCACACACACACACACACACACACGCGCTAATGCGTATTATTATTATTATTATTATTATTATTAACAAATCAAATTTAAATTTATATGTAATTTTGTTTGTTACAGAAACAATGTCAAGGCCTTTTGAAAGATTCCCTGCCTTTTTTTTTTTCCGTAGCGAAACAACAAAAAAATGAAGATTAAATATGAAACAACAACAACAACAACAAGAGAGTGACGAGATTTTCCGTGACGAAAGTGAAAAAATGCAAAAGTGAGACAAAATCCGACAAGTTTTTCCGGGAAAAGCTAACAAAAAAAAAAAAAAATTCTACGATCAACGTACGGTAAACAAAAACGTGCGAAATATAATAATTTGTTCGTTAAAGTTTATAGAAAAATAATAATGATAATAATTTAAAATGTTTTCCAACCGTGATTGATTCGTCGAGTTGCGTGTGTGTGTGTGCGTGCGTGCGTTTTTTTTGTTAATTCATTTTCAAAAATGGCGGAATATTGGATATTAAAAAACTACTTGATTTTGGGAATTTGTTTTCTATGTCAAACATTTGCTCAGGATCAGGTCGAGGATGGTTGTTACGGTGCCGAAAGTGTCGTCGTTGCCGTTATAGGTACCCTAATAGTAACCCTCGGACTTCTCGCTGGAGGATTATTTTTATTTAAAAATTACTGGAGAAATAGAGACGGTGAGTGAGTTTTTAAATTAATTTCCCCCCTTCCCCCCCCGAATAAAATAAATTAGAAAACAATAACAAGCGTTAAAATGACTAATTTTTTCATAATTATTATTATTATTTTCATTTTCAAACGGATTTCCTGCAGAGTTTTTATGTGCGTGTGCGTGTGCGTGTGTGTGTGTGTTGACGATGATAACAATAAAACCTTGATTAATTCACGACGATTTGAGCTTTTGCCATTTTAGCAAAAAAATGTTAATTTAATCAATATTCATGAGTTTCCATATGCGTTTTGAAACCATAATAATAATAATGACAATTATTATTCTTTGACTCTCTCTCTCTGAAAATTTTTTTGTGCTGGTTGCCGCGCGTAAAAAATTAATAAAATAATAATAATAATAATAATTAATTACTACGCCTGCGTTTTTGAAAAAAAATTTTTTTCGCATTGATTTAAAAAAAAAAAAAAAACGTCAAAAAAATGACACGGCACAAAAGTTAAGCCGACAACTAACTATTCGGTATTATTTTATTAATAATAAATAACGCTACGTTATCGTAGGTACCTGAAAAAAAAAAAAAAAAACAAGTTTACCAATTTATTTTTCGAAATATTCCCCGCTGCCCCCCCAAAAAAAACAATTTATTCACCATTTAAATTTTTTTTTTATATAATTTTTAAATTGCGTAATAAATCGCGAGGAAAAATGCGTAATTAAAATAATAATCGAAACGAATTTTTTTCTTTTTTTTTAAAATTTTATTCGGGGTCCTTTCACACACACACACACACACACACCCCCCCCCGCGACTTTTGCACAGGTATTTTCAGGTATTATTCACAATCGGAAAACATGAGTTGCCATGTCAAAATTAACGATGAGAAATAATGGTATTTATGGTAGAAAAAAAAAAAAGATTATGTGACCCCGAATCAGGAAGGGGGTGGAGGGGGAAGGTGGGAGAGGTCACTCACACTTCTCTATAATATTTGACCTCAATACATCAATATTATTATTATTATTCGAAAAAAAAAAAAAAATTTTTTTTGAAAGTGATCAATTTAAAAAAAAAAAAAAAAAATCTTTCCTTTCCCTTTTTCTATTTCCCTCCTCCTCCCTCGTCTCCGCCCCCCCGCGAAAATTTAAATAAAAAACGCTTCTGGGGCAATAAACTCAAGTTAATTAACCGAATTTTCTTTTTTAAAAAAAAAAAAAGTAATGATAATAATAATACTTCAAATATTAAATGGTGGTCGCCTTATTATTTATTTAACATTTATTTTCGAATGGTTAAATAAATAACGAAAAACCAGTTGTAGTGACTGACTACCATTTTAGTTCGCTATTATTATTATTATTATTATTATTATTATTATTATTATTATTATTATTATCATTATCATTATCATTATCATTATTATTACAATTACTTATCCTCATTATTTACGTTTAAAATTATTCGTGTAAAAAAAAACAAAAAAAAAAATTCACATCCCACGCGTAAAAAAAATTTCCAAAAATTTGTGTGCTTTATTATTATTATTATTATTATCATTATTATTATCATTATTATTATTATTATTATTATTATTATTATTATTATTATTACGATCGTAATAAATTAAACAGGCGTGCAACACGTTTACACGTTTTAACGTAATTTTTTCATTTTTTCGTTTTTTCCATACGAAAATCTTACGTAAGGTATGCGTGTTACCTGTTTTCCTACCTGCCCCTCCCCTTTCGATTCCCCCTCTCCCCTCTTCACCTCCACTCCCGTGTTAACGATTAATTAAAAAATTAATTTTAATTTTTTTTTTTGGAAAATTTTTTTCTTTACTCTTCCTAATTTAATGAAAATGCCCTCGCGGTATTAATTGACCATAAAAAAAAAAAAACTCACGCACGGGCCGTTATGGTTTCTTTGGGTTTTTCCACGGGGGTAGGGAGAGGAGGAGAAAGCTAAAAATGGAGAGAGAGAGAGACAGAATGATGATGATGTTTGTGTATAAAGATCCTCGCGGAGGAAAAATTACAAAAAATTTACAAAAAAATTTACAAAATTCGCGGATTTAACTGACTACTGGTCTCGAGTGTCGAGTTTCGAATATTATTATTACATTGACACACCTTATTTTTAAAAAAAAATATGGCGGCGCGGAGAATATTTAAAAAATAATAAATAAATAAATAAATTTTAAGTCACGGTTATTATTATTTACGAACCCCTCCCCTTCCCCCTACCCCGATCATTCTTGTCGTGGATTATTATTATTTATAAGGCCATTTTTTTTTCTTTTCACGTTCACCTTTAGTCTTCGAAAAAAAAACGGTAAAAATCCGTTATAATTTTTTTTTTTTTTTTTTTCATTCGTTTCGTATTTAAACGAAAGCAGAAGACGTTTAAAAGTATCAACGAGCAAATTAAATTAATAAATATATATTTTTTTTTTTTTTGTTTTTTTTTTTTTTCTTTTTTACGACATTTTATATAAACTAGAGTGAGTCTACCTCAGATAAATCGTACCAGGGATGCGAAAAATGTGAGAGAGAGAGAGAGAGAGAGAGAGAAATATTTTTTATACTCTTGCTTTGTCATTAAGGTACAAGAAAAAAAAGAAAAACAATAAAGTAAACGGAAATTAAATTTAAACGAAGGTGATCAAGATTTGTTACAAATACGTATTTATTATTTGCGTTTCACTTTCTTTAACCTTCTTTGGAATGCGGGTGTTTATTGATATAAATTTCATTACGTTTTTTTATATATATATATATATATATAATAGAAAAAATAAAATTTTTTTTCCCCCTCTCCCTCCCCTCACCTCCGTTTTTATACGTCGTCCGATAAACGCGCTAATAATAAATTTTTACATTTTCCTAAAATTTTCTTTCCTTATTAAAAACAAAAATTTATAAAAAAAGTTTTCGTTTCTTCTGGAAAATTTATTTGGGAGTACGAGTGGTCGAAAAATGTTAAGGAGGGAGTAGAATAAATTTATTAAAAAAAAAAAAAATTTCAAGGATTTTTTCCAATTCAAATAATCAAAAGAAAACTCGCCAAACAAGACAGGACAGAACAGGACAACCTTTCAAAGAGTTTTCCTTTTAAATTTTTTTTATATATTTCAACTCGCATTTCCATACCCCCGTTTTGTTTTTCCTTTACAAACAAAATCATCGAAATTAATGAAAATTTTCAATGACGAAGAGTAAAAAATCAAAAAAAAAAAAATTTTCGAGATTGTATTACAGAAAAACTCGTGTTTGTGTTTTGAATGAATTGGCCCCCCCATTTTTTTTTCTTTTTTTTTTTTTTATAAATTTTAACTTTTCAAATCTCAAATTTCAAATTTTTTTTTTTTTATTAATTTTGTAAATAAATTCGTCGCGTGCTGTCGATATTTTTAATTTTTTTTTTTCAAACTAATGCCACGACAACAAAAGTTTTTCTTTTTTTTTTCTTCCCAATGTCAAACTCAACTGATTGTTTCATCAAATTTCTTTTGACACTTTTGTTTTCACGCCTGTCAACGAACGAACAATTTGATTTTTTTTTTTTTTTTTGCATTAAAACGTAAAACCTCGAAAAATAATAATAATAATAACCATAATAATAATAATAACAGTGTTTTAAAATTAAATTTTGTACGCGGCGGCGTTAACGTTAACGAACGATATTTTAAAAGGGCCCGAGAATGGCCGCATAAAAAAAAATTATTACTCGCCATTTTATAAATCGATTATTCAAACTGTACTTGAGTTGTTCATTTTTTTTTGGTCAAATTTGGTCAAATTTGATCAAATTTTTACCGAACCGAAACCCGATAATTTAAAATTATTGATCGCGCGGTCGAAAAATAATTTTTAAATCGACTCGATATTATTTTTTAATGCGATTTTCGAAGCCGTTATAAAGCAGGAAGGAAGCGAGAAATCGTATCTGTACGTGTATTTGCACGTGTCATTATTATTACGATTGATACAACATCATCATCATCATCACCATCGCGCCAAGATATGTTTGTGTGTGTGTGTGCGTGCACAAAATTTTTTTTTTATATAAACCCTTTTAAACTAAATAAATAAATTTGACCCTTTTTGAAAAAAAAAAAAAAAAAAAAATACATTCGAATCTCGCGAGGGGGGAGGGGTCATGACTAATTCCGATCGAATAAATAATTTTTTTTGAAAAATCAATAAATAAAAATATTGATTTATTGATTATCTCGGGCTACGAATAAAATCAATATCGGAATAAATTCTTTCGACATTCCTACGACAATCACATTCTCTCATTCTTTATATACCTATGCCTGATTAAAGTGCAAATTAATACCTATTTTACTATCAACTGTCAATACCTATTTTTTTTTTTTGAAAATTCTTTCGCAAACTCATTTAAGACTCAAAAAAAAAAAAAAAATTTTTTTTCTCTCTCTCTCTCTCTCTCTTAAAGTAATTTAAAATTAACGTCAATTTTTATAATAATAATAATAATAAATCACTCGTGAAAATTTGTCTGTGACGTTTTATTTTTATTTTTTCTAACGTATTTGAACTCTCAAAGGGTCACGAAAAGGTTTTTCTTACTTTTTTTTTCGTTATGAATGAATTCTTGGATTTTTTTATTGTTTTGTTGAGTGACGTTTCCCTCAACTTATTCGTATAAAAATTTAAACGTTTGGTAAATATCATGACATTAAAAAAAAAAAAAAATATGTTTAGAAAATAATAATAATAATAATAACCGCTAACGCCTCGAAACAATCGACAAAAAAAAAATTATTATTATTATTGTCGTCGTCGTAGTTGTTTTTATTTCGCCACGAATTTTTTTTTTTTTTTTTTCTACGTGTTTAATAATAATAAATAGAAAATGTAGGAATGCCAACAAAAAAAATAAATGAAAAATTAAGAAATAGAATAATAATAATAATAATAATAATAATAATAAAAACTTTCCATTATTAATTTAATTATGGATTTTGAAGTGAAAAAATTGTTTTTTTTTTTCTTGTAAGAAAAAGTACGTGTTCGTTTTTTTTCTTTTTTCTTTTTTTTTTTACCCGATTTTCAATATCGAATTGACACGAATCGTATTGAAGATTCTTTCACGAAAACATAATTACTTAATTTTTGTAGTTAAATCAATTATTGAGAAGAAAGGCATCATCGTGGAAGAGCAAGAAAAATTTTTTTATTTACATCGTTAATTAAATGAAAATGGGGGGGGGGGGAAAGGGGGGAAATTCAATAAATTCTTTTCACGGACTTTTGAACTTTGATTTTTTTTTTTTTTTCAAACAATAAAAACCCAAGAGAAAATTTATTAAGAGAAGAGAAAAAACTTGTTTTAATGAAACCTCAAAAAAAAAAAAAATTATTTAACGATCTGTGAAAACGATTTACACAATCATTGACAAAAAAAAAAAAAATTTTCCGATTGTGACGTCACACACAAACATCGCACGATATTTTCCGAAAAAAACATTCGAAAAGGTTTGTTCGAACGTATAAAAAAACCCGCCCCCCTCCTCTCCCTACCCCCTTGTAAATTACAACAAGCCTTACCAACTTAATTAAAAAAAAATAATTATTTGTTTAACTCACCGAAAAAAATTTTTCCTCCGTTTTGTCCTTTTTTCCCAAATATTCCCTTAAATATTTTCCCTCCATTTTTCTGGTTGTTGTTTGTTTTGATCCTTTTCAAATTCACTACAAACGCAAAAAAAATCAATTATTACACAGATACGGTTTTAATTTTTTTTCAATCTTTAACAGTCCGAGTAATAATTAATGATAATATTAATCATCCAACCGGTTAATTAATTATTTTAAATAATTACGTAATTATTTAAATTGTAATTTGAAATGGTTCGTTAATTATTAATTCAATACGTTTTTGTTTTGTATGCAAACAAACAAACAAACAAACGACCAAAGTTTGTTGCGCTATTGTAAATCATTAATCTTTTTCATTTTTAATTTTTTCCAAGACGTTCCATCATTTACAATTAAAATTGTGAGAATAAGAAGAAAAAGATGAAACAAATATTTCTATTATTATTATTATTATTATTATTATTATTAATTTAAAAATAACGAAACCTAATTATAATAAATAAAATGAATTATTATTATTTAAAGTCTGTCTTATTAAGTGAAGACACACAAAAAAAAAAATGAAGCCAAATGTGTTTTGTTACATCAAAAACAAAATCCGTCGTGACTTTGTATACAAAAAAAAAAAAAAATAATAATAATAATAGTTTTTTTTTTAAATTGATAAATAACGCGCGCGTATGATGCAAATAATAATAATAATAATAATAATAATATTATGAAACCTTGAACAAATTAATTTGAAAAATAAAATCTATCGAGTTGCTTTGTGCGTACGTTTTTTTTTCGTTCGTTTTAAGCTAAAAAGATTTTTTGTTTGTTTGTTTGCCACAGGAAAACATTTAATGCTGGTGACTGATGCAGAAAATCCAAATGATCAATATGCATTCGATAACCCTTGTTTTCGAGGTATGTATAAAAAAAAAATACGTGTTAAAAATTTCATATGAGGAAATTTATCGACGTGCGTTCATTTATTATCATTATTATTATTATTATTATTTTGTTTAGAAGCGACGCCGATCAAACAAAACATAAACGATGAAAAACAAAGTTCTAAATTGGATAAAAACAAATGGATGGGATGGTCACCGTTGAACACTCTCGGAAAAGATGAAGAAAAATCAGAGAGAAAAATAACGTCGCTCGATGATAGTTACGTAAATGTAAGAAAAATGTAAATTTTTTTTTTCCTTTACCTTTATCTTATTATTATTATTCTTAACGACGACGCCATTTTATTTTAAAATCAATTTTGATTTTGTGTTGGCATGGCATACCATTTACACCTGTTCGAATTCCCTCCTAAAAGAAAAAATAATTTAAAATCGATTATGTAGAATTGCAATGATTACGCGCGGATAAAAAGATGGCAACTAAAATCGACGATTAGGACAAAAAAAAAAAAATTATTTTTATACAATCACACCCGGGTAATTTAATTTTTTTTTTTTTGTTTTCGGTCGGGCCTTTATTATACAAATTTAATATAAAAAAATTGAATTATTATTATTATTATTATAACGATTCGAAATGGATTTTCTTGTTATCGCAATTATTAAGTATTTTACATATACATGTGACTGACACTAATACATCTAATAATCGTTAATGTCACCGGGTAAGAGAAAATGCGGTATTTGGGTCACATCTATGCTCTCTGCTATGTAACGGAAAACATCAACAACAAAAAACGCAAAAACATTCGAATTTAAATAATATATCTCTCTCTTTCTCTATTTAAATATTTACGGTAGCGATGACTTTTTATTTTTTATTTTTTTTAAAAAATATCCGACTTCCTTCCGCTAAAAAAAAAAAAAAACAAAACCGGAAACAAAAAAAAAAATTTTCAACATGATAATTGTCGTATGTTATCACACAATGACTCGAATATATATTTTTTTTTATTCGAATTTTTAAGGGAATTTAGTTAGTTTAGTTAGTTAGTTAGTTAGTTAGTTTTAACATTTAGTTATTAGTTACGATAACTGTTATGAAATCACGTAAAAAAAAATAATAATAATAATTACTCTCTTAAAAAAAAAAAAAACGAAAACGTAAAAATTGCAATAAAAAATAAAATAAAAAAAAAAGAAAGAAAATCGATTGATTTTCTTTTACCACGTTTGACGTGATATTAAATAATAATAATAATAATAATAATAATAATAATAATAATAATAATAATATTATAATATATTTTTTTAATATTAAACGCAAAAAGTTAACGATCATATTTAAAAAAAAAAAAAAAAACAAAAAAATTTTTCGTTTGTAAAATATTTACAAACGATTTTATTGTAACCTGAAAAATATCGTACAGACAGATAAAATAATTTTTATTATTATATTATTATTATTATTATTATTATTATTATTATCATTATTATTATTATTCGCATACAAAACTTATTTACATCTACATCAATAACAGGTTTTTCTTTTTTTTGTAAATTAATTTACGTTGTTAACCAATCAGACTACTTTACTATCTTTCGGTGATGAATAAAAATTAAATTAAGAAAAAGTAGATTCGTAACTACCTGCTTTCTTTAATAAAAAAAAAAAAGAAAAATACAGTAATAATAATAATAATTCAAGATAATGAGAGTAAAAATTATTATTATTATTATTATTATTATTATTATTATTATTATTCTTTCTTTCTTTACTGAAATTTTATTGCCGACAAGTTCAAAAAATTTCAAACTGGAATTATTCTTTCTTTTTTTTTCTCTCTCTCTCTCTCTCTCTCTCTCTAATACTCTCTTCTAACACGTGATTTCGTAAAAAAAAAATTATTTCTTTTTTTTATAATTTTAACAAATTCCTTAAAGAATTTTCCTTTTCTACTATCATTATTATTATTATTTTCTAGGATTCACGAATAAAAACGGTGACGTTAAAAAGTCATGATTTCACCGGTCTTGGTTTTAATATATGCGGAAACATGAGGGATGGCATTTTCGTTAAAGATATATTACACAGGGGTCCAGCTTTTGAATCGGGATGTATAAATACAGGCAAGTATTATTATTATTATCACTACTACTACTCGCGAGTTAAATATTTATTTTAAAAAAAAAAAAAAAAACCTGGAAGGCCGTACAAAAGTCGAGTCGCACCTTTATTTGTACCCATGGCAACTAAATTGAAATATTTAACTTGACCTTTGTTTTTATTATTTATTTCGTAATCTTTTGCCTGGTAAATGAATTACAATTTTTTTTTTTTTTTTCAAATTTACGTTGGGTAAAATCCTTGAAACGTCCACCAATTAAATATAAAATGATTTCAAGACAAAATTTTCGAGAATAATTATACTTGAAATAATAATAAATATATAAAATGGACGGGGGAAAAAAAAAGGACAAAGCGTACCTAAAATAAATCCGCACAAAAAATTTCGAATCATGATAAAAAAAATTTATAATGTTAATAATAATTATTATTATAGTAATTAAAAAACGCGAAAAGAAGGTAACGTTTTTATATACTCGTAAGTGCCTCCCCTCCCTCCACCCCCCCCCCGTGAAACAACATCTAAGTACGTAATTAAGTCAATGTCAAATTTTAAGATGAGCAAATTTATTTATTTATTTATGAATCATTTATTTATTATATTTCATCACCGATCGTAAATCATTTCAATCAAAAAAAAAAATATTTTTAACATTTACCGTTGAAAGGAATTCAATTTTCTCTATAGCACGACCTTAAAATTGTAAAGAGCGAAATTATTTATTATTATTATTAAAGAAAAAAAAAAAATTAAATGTCGCTAGCCCTAAAATCAGGGTGAACAACCTTACGAAAAAAATTTTTTTTTTTTTTTTTAAATTAATAGGGTGTTATTACACAAACTCGAATTTATGTTATTCTTCGCCATTGCTCACCGACTGAATGATATACCAACTGAAAGCTATTAAAAAATTATTTGCTAAATTTATTATATTAAAATTTCAGGTGATAGAATAGACAGCGTTTGTATAAATTTTAGAAATATGGTTATAGAAGACGCGAATAAAATATTAAGCTACGCATCTCCTTACGATGTACAAATACGATTTGAAAGTGATTCGTATTCAACAAGGCCTTCATTGAAACGAAAACGAGACTCAAATATTGTTTCGACGGTTGATAGAATTCAACATCCGAAATTTATTAGAAGTCAATCGATTTCACATATAAACGAGGTAAAAACAAATGAAATAACATACAACGCTTTTGCTTTTATGATTTATGAAAAAAAAAAAAAAAAACAATCCGGTGCATCTCCATTGAAATTTTAATGTCACGAGTTTTTTTTTTTTTTTTTTTTTTTTTATTGTTCAAGTTTACTAACTGGAATTTTTTTTAAAAATTATAAACAATCTTCGAAATTCTTACGATTGGCCTCGTGATATAAGACCTTTAAAATCAATTTTTAAAATCAAGAGTTTAATATAAATGTCGAATGATAATGAATGCCCCATTTTAAAAGATTATAATAATAAAATAATAATTTTTTTTTGTTTAAATCCTAATCGTTATAATTGTTTTAGATTGGGAAATCTGGCAATAAACGGCTACCGAATCAAGGTGGTTTCATGCAGGAAAAAAACAGAATCAACACTTCGTTAAATAAAAGTCACGAGGGTTCAAATAATTATCCTACGATTAAACTAACGGCATCTGGAAATGATGTAAAAAGAGAACGTCAAAAAGGAGAAAAACAAACTCATTCGAATTTTTCACCTTCGACTGGAAATAAAAAATTCAATTCTACCGAAAGACAAGTTAGTCCGGGATCTACGGGTAGCCCGCAAAGTAAACTTCAAAAATTTGGAATCAAAGTTCTTCCGATGCCCCTAAGTCCCAAAACTGGAGATTCGAAAGAAAAACCTCGAAGTCCTATCGTTTTTGAAAATGAATTAAATGTAGGAAATAATAAAAACGATAAATTAATCAATCATAAACCTCCGAGTGCGCCATCACGAAGTACCTCTCCTTCGGGAGACTCGTTAAAAAATCGACAAAACGGCTTAGATGAATCAGATGGAAGTAGAGAAAATGTCAAAGCTATGCTGGCTAAAGGTTTTCAAAATCTGAAAGATAAAATTAATCAAAATACTCTTGGTAAAAAGAAAAACAAAGATCCTGTTATACCCGATAGGGCCAACAGTCCGGAACCAAGCCACGAGATCAAAGATATCAAAGATATGGATAACAAAAACAAAGTGCTACCAACTTTGAAAAATAATTCTAAAATTTCAACAGAAATTACTTCAGACGCTGAACACCCAGTTCCGAAATTGCGAGGTTCGGCCAATAACAGATTAAAAGAATCTGAAAAAACCATAAAAAACGAATTTTCTGTACCTGAGGAGGTCGCCAGAGCTGGAGATGTTGCACGAAATAATAGGAAATCGTTAAATGACCCAAATAGTGGTAGAAAATCTGTCACTAGCCTAATTTCAGAGCCTGATTCTGAAAATCAATCAATTGAAAATCTAAGCCATAAAAACGAAAACTTTTCAGACGGAGAAGTTTCTTTCGATGGGGATACTTCTAAAACGTTAGAAGAAGCTAAAAGGCCCAAAAGAAGTAAAGGAAAGGCACCGGCTCCTCCCGATCCCGTTAAGGAAGAAAAATCTAATTCTCCGAAAAAAACAAAATGTTTTGATTCTAATGAAATTAATGAAATAAAAAAAGATACTGATCTTGACGTCGAAAAAAATGATAAAAGAAACAGTTTTGATTCTATTAAACCTGATGCAAAAGTCGCCACTTTAAGAGATAAAAATGAAGTAGAAAAGGAATTACACCGCCCGCCTACCTACGATAGTGATTCTGATACCGAACCGAAAAATAATGATGGCGAGGATAAACCGAACAATACAAAAATAGAATTAAACGCCAATCAAGTAACCGTTCACCAGAGTCCATCCGGTGATGTAAATGATGATGATATAAAACCAGGTAGAAAAGCTGCTTCATTAGGTGATTTGTCTAAACTGGATTCTGATCAGCCATTGAGTATTGTTTTGGAAAGAGCAGTTTCTTTAGATTTAGCTGATGGTGTTGTACAAGCAGGTAAAAAACGTAAAGCTCCACTTCCACCATCTGAAGAATTCACGGCTGCTTTTGATGATTTAAGTTATCGTGCTGAACCACAAGTTGAAAATTCTTTGGGTTTGAATACTTTTCAAAGAAGACTTAAAAAGTCGTCAGATTTTGGTACTCTAGAAGATGTTCTTAATGAGGGACCCAAATCTCTTGAGATCGAGATTAACAACCATAGTTCTCCAGTTGACTTAGCAGAAACTCACAATTCTAATATACAAGAATTTTCATCGTGGCTAGCCGAATGCCGAAGACCGAAGTCAAACAATTCAGAAACATCCGAAGAACAATCTCCTTCGAGAAAGAGTACAACTTCTTTAATAAATATTAGTTCTCCTGAAGAATTAAATAAAGAAAACAAAAAAGGAGACAAAACTGAATTTGAATTTCAAAATAATAACGTTAGTTTCAGTGTCAACGGGAAAAATTTTCCAGATTTTGAAATTAAGGAGGAAAAGAGCACTGTCACATCAGGGACTAATTCTAAAACAGTTGTAGTCATTTCTCAGCCGAATTCGTTAGAAAGGACTTTTGCTGAAACAGTTCCATTAAATCCTGCAAAAGATGATGAAAAACAAAATTATTTTTCTCTTGAAAATGAAATAAACAGTCAAAGTCTACCTTATCAGGCTACCGAAAGCAGTACTTTTGACACTTTTATAACAGCTAGCAGTGATTCTAGAATGGAAAATTATACGAAGCCGTCTGAAAACGAGGATGAACCTCCAAAATTACCAACTTCACCCATGCCAGAAATGACAAACTCGAGTACGCTTTCTACTCCTCTATCTTCTAGCCTAACGTACATAACCGAAATTAAAGTTTCAACGTCTTTAAAAGATGGCAACAAAAATAGATCCTCTTCCACGGATGGAACCATGTCTCCAACATTATCTTACAGGAGTCAAATTGATCAATTTGGTCTTGACACTTCTGAATTGAAAACTTCTACGCCTCGGCCTCATAGTCTTAGTTTCATCGATAAGAAGATTCAACAGTTTGATTCAAAGCCAACTCTTGCCAAACCACTTATTAGCCCTATAAAAACCAAACCTCAATTGGGATCATTGGAATCAAATAATGATTCAGTTTTTGAATCTTCTAAAATTCCAATTAAAACAATGAAATCAGAAACTGGACAAAAAGTGTTGGCGACCATACAAAGCTTAGCTGCTAAAGGTGCCACGCCGAGTAAAAGTCCTGAAATCGAGTATGCCAAAAGAGTGGCATCATTATTTTCAGGAAACTCATTAGAAAGAAACAAAGGAGAACAGCATAGACATAAACCGGATTTGATTAAAAACGAAGAAAATCATGTAAACAATTCAGGATTTTTTTTAAAGGAGCCGCCACAAACATCACCGACCAAACCATCTAAAGATTTTGTACCGACACGTAAAGTTCCACCAATGGTACCTCCGAGAAAAATGGAAACTACACTTTCCTCAAAAACGATAACGGTTGACATAGTCCCTAAAAACAAAGATGTCGTCAATTCTGCTCAGATTCCAATTAGAGACCGAGTTATTCCGAATGATGACCAAGAAAGGAATATCGTTACTTTTTCATCGTTTATGCCTAAAACTCAAAACGAAGAATCATCAAATTCGAGTTTGATATCGTTTAAAATAAAATAACGTTAGTTAATTAGTGCAAATATAAAAATGAACAGGTACCTGTCGAATAAGTAGTTATTATTAAATACGTAAACAATTTTTGTGCGGTTTATTTTTGCCATGCTCAAATATTATTAAACGGATAATATATATTTTATTCAGTGCCACAAATATATGTATATAAGAAGAGTCAGTGTTTTAAAATTTAAGAATCCATTATATAAATTAGGTACTTAAATAATTAAAAATTTTTTTTTTAATATATATTTTACACTTAACCGTTTGCCTTAGACTCGAAACGAATGAAAATGCATTAAAATATAGAATCGTAATAAAAATAGTGAATAAATTGATATGAAAGTTTTAACTTTAAAAATTATAAACCCTTCAAAATGAAAATGTTTAAGAAAAAAAAGTATACTAACAACCATAAACCTAACCTTTTTCTTTTCAATGTACACGAAATGAATATATTTTATATAAATTTTCAATTAAAGTTTTTAAAACTTACTTTTTTTGTCCGAATATGTATACATAAACACACTAATTATTCCATTTTGAAGAACGAACGAATCTGTAAATAATAAAATAATATTAATAATGTATCGAAAAAATGCATGATGTCTACATCTGTCATAAATTAAGGTAGCCGCCATTTTTTTGTTTTAATATAATTACAATAAAACAATTGTTTTAACGATTTGTTTTTGTTATTAAAAGAAAAAAAATTATTACTTGAATAAAGTAAAGTTTTCTTCAAAAATACAAAATTACTATCCGGTTTTTTTTATTTCATTTTTTACAATTTCAATTAATTAAAATGTCCCGTGAAAAAAAAATTAACCTGACAGTTAAACGTAATTAAATTTTTTTTTCAAGTGTTGGCAAAACTGAATTAATTAAATTAATATCTTTATTTATGCATTCAATTACCCGAATGAATTTGCACTAAATTAAGGTTGCAAAAATGATAGTGTTGACACCTATCGGAATAATTGTGAAACAATTTTTGATTAATGGCGTCTCTATAAATAAAAATTTAAAATTAACGGTTTTTTTTTATTTTTACATTTAACAAAACTACAAATGGTATTATTACGTAGGTATTTATTTAAATTTAACTATTGTTAATAAAAAAATAATTTTTACGTTTAATAAAAATAATAATTTAACGATCAATAATAAAAAAAAAACAACAAAAATCTTATAAAATCTTTTATTTGTCATGACAAATAATTAATATACAAATATATTTTTATATAAATTTGTATGAGTGTATATATATATGTATATATATATATTTGTACATATTTACGTAAATAAAAACTTTTCAGGTAAAAAATTTAATTGACCCGAAAAAAAAAAAAAATTCAGGTTTCAATAAGATTTTATCAAAAAAAAAAAAAAATATTTAAAAAAAAAAAAAAAATTTAATTTTTGAATCAATTATTATTGAAACTATAATTTTCTTTTCTTTTCTTTTCCTTTTTTTTAAATAATAATAATAGTAAAAAAAAATTAAAATTTTATTAAAAGTTATTAAGATTTACGGCTTATCAATTAATTTTATTTTATCTTGAAGACCTTGAATTTTTCGCAAAACGTTTGCCAATGCCATTGATGGGGTAGGTCGTAATGGATCTTTTTTAATTTTTTGATTACGACCTTGTTGTTGTATTGTAGACTGACTTGAAGAATTTATATTTTTATTTCTTAACGTTTTTATTTTATCTTTTAAAAGCAATAACTACAAAAAAATAAATTATTTAGTTATGATAAAATGATGTTGTTGTTGATGCTTTTGGAAAATTCTTTTAAAATTTTCTCCTACCTCCTGATAAAAATTTAATATATTTTTAAATTCCATTTCTTTTAATGACAATTCTGATTCAATTGAATCAATTTCTGCACTCGCTTCACAAACGTCTAAATTTTTTTGTGTTATCAATCCTTCTAGATTAGAGTACCTCCTGCAATAAAATAAATTCAAAATAAAACAAATTAAATGTCAGAACAATAATAACAATAATAAAAAAATTTTTTCCTACCTATTTAAATTAATTATATCACTTTGAATTTTATTAATTTCAATTTTTCCATTTTCCTGCATACCCAATCCGATTTTTTCTCCCGATGGTATCGTACAAAGTTTTGGCTTTCTATAAGTTATTGTCGAATTATATGAAGAAAAACAATCAGAGGTGAAAGATGTTGTTGACTTGGTATCCGGACTTGCCCAAGTTGTATATTCTCTCAAAACCTTTTGATAATCCACGCAATTTTTAGAAGGATAACAAGTGCATTTCGAACGGGTTTTTTTAAGATTACAATAACCGTCCGGTTGTTCGACGACCCAAACATCTTCGGGACGTTCGATTTTATTTATTTCAATTTCTTCATTGATTTTCGTTTCGCTCCTTTCGTGATGGTAATTAATTTTTTTATTATCATCCGTTTCGGATCTGAGTGCTTGAGTTCTTTTCAATAGTGAACAATTCGAATGATAACCCACGTCACTTGTTACAACCGAAAAAGAATCCTCGATGCATGTTTGTGCAGGACAAACAGATGATGATGTTACTTGACTGTGACTGAAAAATAGTGTATTCACCGTGGGTTCAATTTTGTTCGATATTGATCTTGTTGCTTTCATACCGTTTCTAACGAGGGTTTCCAAAGAAATTGAATGTTTTTTATTTTTAATCAGGGATAAAACTTGCTGTACGTTTAAACCCAAATTAAATGTTTTAGTAGTGGATGAGCAAGGTATAAATGGTATCGGTTGTTTTAAAAATGGTATCAAAGTATTCGGTTTAGATATCAAATTGGATATGTTGCCCAAATGAGAATTCATTTTAGGTTGAAAAGAATTTTTCATTATATTTTCCGAAGGAACGATGGCTTTGCAAGAATTAATACTCGGTTTATTGTTTAAATTGTTAACATTCGAGTTTTTAATCGTCATTCTGAAATTTTCCGAAAAGTTGGGTTCGGATTTGATATTTTTAGAAAAAAAATTTTCTCGGCGTACGCCATTTGATTTAAAATCAATTTTTGATTTTGACATTCTCTGTTGCAAACTTCTAGCACTCTTTGATATAGTTTTCCTCCTCAATAAAGTATTTTTATGATCCATGAAGTCTAATCTACCTTGTCCTTCACTTTTGAAGGTTTTAAAACTTCTTATGCTGTTCGCTTTCAAAGATGTTTTTGATTTTGATGGGTTATTACTAAGTCGGCCAACTTTCGAGTCAAAAACTTCGATAAATCCTCCGAAACCAAATTTTCTTCTTACTCCTTGTGGTAAAGATTTCGATCTTAATTTATACCTTTGTAAAGTTGAAAAACCTCTTTTCATTTGAGGATTTAATTCTTTTTTTCTCGATCTTAAATTTTCAACTGGAACGCTTTTTGTCGATTGTCTTTCGCTCAATTTGAAATCATCCAAACAATCTTTGATTACCGTTTCCGATGGTAAAGATTCTTGTTTTTTAACGGAAACAAAAGATTCAGATTCGCACGTTTTATTTTCGCCATTAACAACCTGTTCACCTTTATTTTCTTTTTTAGGAGTTAAAGCCATTTTAATTTTTGATTCATTTTCTGCCGTTTCATCATCTTTGTTATTGTGATTTTGTAATTTTCTATTGGCTATTGTTATTTCATGATTCATTTCATTTATTTTACTTCGAATTTTTTTATAAAAATATCTATTGACTTTTTCAAATTCATTTTCTGAAGAACTTTCGTCTTCGTTTTCGTGCCTACAATACTTTTTATTCTTTTTCTGCATGATCAAAACAAAAAAAGTTAAATTAAGAAAGATGGCGAGGGGAGGATACATTACAAAACAAAATTAATAGTATTTACCCTAAGATGCATATTTTTGCCCAAACGTTCAGCATTTACCCATTTTTCATAATATTCTTTGTAGTAATTGAGTTTTTGCATTAAATCTCCACATTTTCTTTCGGCAAAATTAACGGTTCTCTCCAATTCTAAAATAAAAATGTCGATGTAAGCACATTTAAACAAAAAAATTTTTTTATGTGCGAGCAAACTATGATAACATAATCAAAGGATTGATCATGTTACTTGAAAAAATTTAACACGTAAGCAAAAAAAGAAAAAAAAAGATTAAACATGCCTTTTATCAATGGAGAAGTTTTTTCCCAACAATTTAATAACATTGCACTGTCACTTTCAGTGTGAGATAGTTCTGTCGGTCCAACACTTAATACCTCCAACATTTTGGGGAAAGATTTTTTTTTTTTTTTTTTCCTTTACGACGCAGTAAATAAAAAGTTTTTTTGTTTTTTTGTTTTTTTTTAAAAGATTCAAAATAAAAAATTTAAAAAACCAGCAAATTTTAGATACCGGCAGCTATTACACCCATACAATTGTTTATTGTTTAGTTTTAAAAGCAGAAGATGATTTATTTGCATTATTTTGTTTTACCATTGAATCACAGTTTTGTAGCAATAACTAAAAAAAAAATGTTTGAATTTTAAATATAACGATTATTATTATTAATAACAATTATCGCGTGTTTCTAGAACTTTCTTTTCTAACGCAATTATTATTTTTTTTTTTCTTAGATGAGAACAGAAAAATTTCACGTGAAAATACATTGCTAAACAAAAAATTCGCGCGAAAGTACTAAAAATACGTTACTCGAATTTCAAATATTTTCGTTTTGTTACTCTATGACAATTCTATTCACAAACAAATTAATTACACGAATTTAACGTACCGTTAATTAAAAAAATGGGTGAATTTGGGTTAAAATTTTTATATTACAATAAAATTTTGCGTTTTACACGATGTAAAAACCTTAAAAATATATAAATATTTATTTTTTCGGCCCGGACGAAATTAAAAATTAATAATTTTGTATAATTTTCAATCCCTAATCAATATGTTTAATTTAATTATTCAACAGTTTAATTTTATTTTGCAAATTTTGAACTTGATTAAATGTTTCTTTCAAAACGACAGAATTATTTTCTTTTTTTTTCTCATTATAATTTTTACGTATGCTCGATGAACAAATAAAATGAGATTTTTCAAATATCGACGTGTGTTGTCCAACGGGTTTTAACGATTTTACTTTACTCTTGAGCTGTAAAAACTTTTAAAAAAAAAAAAAAAATTTTTTTTTTAAAAATTAAACGACACGATATTGATATAATAATAATAATATTAAAATTCAATATTAAAAATTACTAACTCTGTAATACACTCTTAAAAAATTTTGATAGTTTTCAATAACTTCATCAATTTCTTTAACAATTTGTTTTAATTTTGTCGGACTTATAGTTTTGTCATTAATGGCACTTTCTTTCAATCCAGAATAATAACTACAAAATTATATTTATAATAATAATAAATTAATAAAATTACTGTTGATTAATGTGATGACATTTTTTTTTTTTCTTTTAAACAAACCTATACAATTCTGAATATTCATTGACCAATTTTTCCCATTTTGTTCTTACTTTCTTATCTTCCGTGCTTTTTGAATTATCTCCACTTGCTTCAGCCAATAAATTTATATTTGGAATTTCAAAATAATTATTTTTACGACTTTGCGATATCATTATGGTGGTCGCTGTTTTCGATTCTGATTCAATCATGGATTCGTTATCATTCGTGTAGCGTTGGGTGGTTGTTGTTGTTGTTGTTGTAAAACTATCGGAAATTGTTTTTGTATATTTTGAACGACATCTTTTATCGGGAGTCAAATTTACTTTTGTCGGCATCCATATGTTTTTTTCGTCATCGATCAATTTTTTTTGTATTAAATCATCGTTGGTTTTATATTCTTTGGACGTTAAACAACAATTAATTTTATCATCATTTTTCACATCGTCTAAATTCTTATCGACGCCATATTCAATAATTGAACCGATGCTTTCTTTCGGGCTCCATGGATATGTTGTTACAATAAAATTAGAATTCAATTTATTCATTGAGTGATCATTTTTGGATTTGTTTGCATGCTGTGGATTATTATTATTATTTTTCGAAATGATTTTATTATGATTTCTCGACATATTTTGTATTAAACAATTGTTTTTCATCAAATTTGATGAATTAGTTTCATATGATAAAGATAAATTTTTTTTTTTTATTATTTTTTTCTCATTGACAGCTTTAATTAAATTATAACAAATGACATCTATATCGACTTCGTTACTTGTTTTCGTCGAATTATTATTACTAAATTTTATTTTTTGATTTTTTTTTACCTTTGTCGAATGTAACGTTGTAATATTTTTATTATGAACAAATGATTTATTTGATTCGTTTACATTATTTAAAATTTCATTTTTACAAAAAGAATGAGAAGATGTTTTGTTTTTTTTTTCATCTTTTCCATCAGCACACCAAATTCTTTTATTCGATTTATTTTTCGACGGATAATTTTTACGTTTGCATTGATTCGTATTACGTTCTTTGATAATTTTTTTATTATATTTTTTATAAACGAGTCTTGTTTTACCCGGAGACATTATTCCTTTTTTTCTTAAATTTTTTTTCAAAGGTTTAAATTTTTTTTTCGATGCACTTTTATAAAAATTATATTCGCTTTTAGATATTTTAGAATATTCTACGTTTTCCTCCGGCGTTGTTAAAACGGTATCCGATTGTATTACTTTATGTTTGGCGTAAGTTTTTAAAAATGTTTTTTTTAATTTGGGCAAATATTTTTCAATATTTCCAATAGCTTTTTCTCTTAATTTTCGAACGTATTCGTTTGTGTGAAAAAGAATTATTTTATCATCTATACCGATTTTAGAAGAGAGTCCTTTTAATTTTTTATTTATTTTCCATAATTTCTTTTGAAAAACATCATAAAAAATATTAAAATCATTATTTTGTGTATAATTTTTTCCAACCGTCAATTCTGGAACGCTTGAAGTTTCAAGTTTATAATTTTTTAATTCATTCTGTAATTAAAAAAAAAAAAAAAAAAAAAAAAAACAGAACAGAAATATGAACATAAGAATATAAACACTAAAAATTTGTTGTTGTTGTTGTTGTTAATGTAATAAAATTTTAAATAACAAACCACCATTAAAGAAGAATTGGGCGTTGAAGGATTACTATTATTATTATTATTACAATCTTGATGATAATATTGATAATAAATTAATTCTAAAAATAATTTTTTACATTTTTTTTCAACTGAACGTATTGAGTTTTCTAAATCTAAAAGAAAAAGCAGTAAAAATAAAAGTTAATAAAAAACTTTTTATATCATATATAATTATTAAATAAATAAAATTACCTTGAACAATTTCTGGTGTTTTCTCTTGATCCCAATAACCCAAAATAACACCGCAGTCATCATAATCATGGCTTGAATAAATATTAAACTTATCGGTTTTATAAATTTCCTTTGAAATTTTATTCATCATATTTTATAAAATTTTGAAAAACATTGTTGTCTAATGCCAAGTTATTATTATTTATTAAATAAACGATTTTTTTTTTTTTTAGAAAAAATTTTTCTAAAAAAAAAAAAGCTCTGGTGTTTGATGTCAATTCATTGCCTTCTTTCGACAAGTTAAAAATGTTTCAAAATAAAAATTATTCTTTTGTTTATGACAGTGTATTATACTTACAAACCGTTGAAATAATTTTGAAAAATAATAATTTTTTTTTTCAATTTTGTGTGCGTGTTTTTTTTTTATTTACAAAAAATTCATTTCAAACTTGTACGCGTGATTTTGAATTTAAATTATTTTCCTTATAATAAAAACTAATTTTAATAAAATAAAAAATGATTTTTAAAAAAAGTATACAGTAATTATTTAATTTCTTACCGTTTTTTTTTCTTCTTCTTCTTCTTCCATTACAATAATTTCTACCAATCATAACGTTTTGTAATACGTTAGTCAAATTAAAAACTATTTAAAAATTTTTAAAATTGTATTCAAAAAAATATTAACGGTTTTTTCGTTTAAGGAAAAAAATATATTTGTTTAAAAAAGTTAATTTCGTTTAATTAAATTTATTTTATGAAGTAATAAATTACGATAAATTAAAAAATATAGTTTTAAATTTATATAAAAATTTTATGGTGAGTTCCTGTATGCATTAATTAAATACAGTGATTCAACAAGTTTTGACTGATTTGGTCGTAATATATCAACATTCGGTAAAAAAGTTATATTTTAAAAAAACCCGTTTGAAATTTTATTTCACCTCGTTTAGTGTTACACACGATGGGTCGTATTGATTTGGTAATATTCGGAGCCACGGGCTTTACCGGTAAATATACAATTAAAAATTTAATAAAAATCGCGAAAATGAAAAATTTACATTTTACATGGGGCGTAGCCGGTAGAAATAAAGAAAAATTATCAAAAACTTTAATTGAAATGTCAAAAGATGAAGATTATGATATTTCAAAAGTTACTCAGATAATTGCTGATCTTAACGATTCTGATTCTTTAAATGCAATGGCTAAGCAAGCCAAAATTATTGTTAACTGTTGTGGACCTTATAGATTTTATGGAGAAGCAGTTATAAAAGCTTGCATTGAAAATAAAACTCATCATGTTGATGTTAGTGGTGAACCACAGGTTTGTCTATTATTTTGTCATTAATTTTTTTTTTTTTGACTACTTTAATTGAGTAATCATTACAGCAAAATATTTATTTGAAGTCTGTATTTTTTTTTTTTTTCACATTCACTACTTTTTTTAGTTTATGGAAAAAATGCAACTTAAGTATCATGAGGATGCAAAGGAAAATGAAGTTTATGTTGTGAGTGCTTGTGGATTTGATAGTATTCCAGCAGATATGGGTGTTGTGTTTCTCAAAAATGAATTTGGAGGACAATTAAATTCAGTCGATATATTTTTGGATTCTTGGGTTTCCGGTCAAAAAACGGTAAGCATTCATCAATAAGTATTTTTTTTAAAGAAAAATATTGATTATTAATATTAAACCATCATTCAAAGAGCTTGCAGAACTTGTATTGATATTGCATTTTTATTTTCAGGGAAGTACAGTTCATTTTGGTACATGGGAATCTGCTGTTTATGGAGTCGGATGCAAATCAGAGCTTAAACCTTTGAGACAAAAATTATTTACAAAGCCTTTACCCGCATTAAAGCCTAAATTAGAAAGAAGGTGAGTTGTAATATGTTCAAAATGATTAAACCTGTTTTTTTTCTTTTATGGAAATTGTATACATTTGTATTTGTTTTAATTATTTACATTATTTTGCTAAACAGATTGCCTTTAACCAAAGTTGATGCCCTAAAAGATAAATGGTGCCTTCCTTTTCCTGGAGCTGATAAAGCTGTCATTAGAAGGTCTCAGTATTACTTTTATGAGCATGACAATCAGCGTCCAATCCAGGTTGGAACATATATTGCTTTTCCAAGTCTAATAGGAGCTTTGTTAGTTACTTGTGCAGCTGCAGTTTTTGCTTTAATGACTAAATTTAATTTGGGAAGAAAGCTATTACTTGCAGTGAGTAAATTATTAACTTTTAACAAAATCAAAGTGAAACTACTGATATTTAAATTTGAATGATTAATTAATTTTTATTTACAGTACCCAAAATTTTTTTCATTTGGATTTGCAAGTCATGAAGGTCCACCAGAAAATGAAGCTGAAAATACATTTTTTACTTTCACTTTTCTCGGTAAAGGATGGAAAGAAAAATTAAATAATCCACTGGATGCAGAAGGAATTCAACCAAATAAAACTCTAATAGCTAAAGTTTCTGGAAATAATCCAGGTTATGGAGCAACTTGTATATTACTTCTTGTTAGTGCATTAACCGTCTTAAAAGAAAATGACAAGATGCCTGAAAAGTAATAAAAAAATTTTCTTTTTGTAAATTGTAAATTAAAATTTTAACCTTGTACTTATTTTTATCGATTTTTTTTTTTTTTAGGGGTGGCGTTTATCCACCTGGTGCTGCTTTTGCCAACACCAATATGATAAAAATGTTGAACGAATTAGGAGTGAAATTTGAAATTGTGCCTCAAAATAATTAATTTAAATTAATGTTGATGTTTCATCATATTTTTCTAATGCACAAAAAAAAAAAAAGTTAATTTTTAAAAGTAAGTCGAAAGCATTTAAATGCATTTAAATTTATTTAATGATTGTTACTTTTTTTAAATGATTGTTAGTTTTTTTTGTTTTATGTTTAATTAGATAAACTAATTGCAATTAATAAGTCTGAAATTACTTTAATTTATATATTGAAAACAGTAGGAGAAATTTTTATATGTAACTAATCTTACAGTTTAACTTATAATCGTGTTAAATTTTCTAATCCACTTATGTAATCGTTAAAAAAATAAAAATTACAACTCATATATATATATATATATATATATATATATTTATCTTAGTGCCTTTAAATATTTTTATAACTTAAATATTTATTATAATAATAATTACCCTTCAAAGGAATTTTTATTTATTTGTGAGGTGTTTGAAAAAAAAAAAAAAAAAAATTAATTATTATTTATTTATTAGCGTTGTTTATAATTTTTTTTTATTATCTAAAAATATAATTAATTTAATAAACTATAACAATTTTAAAAAAAAAAACTGTTTAATTATTTAAACCCCATTTTAACTAAATATTATACTTACTTTCTTTGTTTACAAATTAAAGAAATACATTTTAATGCGATTAGACCATGATCAGTTATTTTATATTACATTTCGAAACGAATAAACTTTTAGTATGTCAAAACCAATTTAAATATTAAAATGGAAAATTAATTTTTGTTTATTTCTGGATAATTTTATCTGTACTCAGCTATTTTAAAGTTTTTTTTTACTAATAATAAATGTCGATAAATTTTAAAGAAATAAAAAAAAATATTTTAAATTATATATATATATATTTTATTGTAAAACTATTCAATATCCAATGTTTTATTTTAAAAATAAAATCAAACTACTCTAAATAATATTTACTAATAATTAAAAAGACTTTCTTATTTTATTCCAAAATAAAAAAAATGGAAGAAGACCATTTTTTTTATACAAGTTAGGGTCATATATGTAAAAATTTGCTTTTTCTAATTTGTTTAAAAATATTCGAACAGGAACTGCTGGTAAAAATAATGAATGACAATTCACTGGAATTTTTTCCCTAAGTGATGAAGCCTAAAAATAGTTTCAAAAACATTTGAAAAAGAAAAGAAGAAATTAATTAATTTATTGATAATATTGTTTTTAACGAAAAGAAATTAGAGAGATTGATATTGTTGGTGTTAATCAAATTATTACTTACCAAATTTAAATGATTATTGGCTTTAGTTGCGACTTCAAATATTATTTGTGATAAGGATTCAGGATTTACTGTATTCCTCATTAAACTTTCTTCACTAACACTATATTTTAACAATTCTGTCCTTGGTAATAAAACTATTTTTTCTTTAAAATTATATGGCAAAGATCTAATTAAATTTGATAAACCTTGAGCTTTACCAATATGGCTTGCTATGTGATCACAATCTAAATTTTTAACATTAATTGCTTCTAAAAGTAACATTAACACAGGACTACAAGTTTTATCTGCATATGATTCCATGTCAGCCATGTCATTAAAAGTCGACACATTCAATTGATTGAGCCTAGTTGTCAAAAGTTTTTTAAAATGAAATTTTGATAATTTATGCCTCTTTGTTGCCTAAAAAATTTTGAAAATAAAAAAATTTATTAAAAAATAATATGAGTTTTTTTTTTAATTTAAAAAAAATCAACTGACTAAATATATTTCTTGTAAAACAGGATGCTTGGGAGGAGAGTCACTATAAACTTGATTCAAACTCTCTTCCCAAAATTTAACTCTCATAGCTCCAGTGTACTGTTGACTAGTTTGTTCTTGAATTTTTGACAACTCAATATTAAAAGCCCTGATTGCAAAAGCAGTGGCCCTCAAATTTTCAGGAAGAAGTAGTGAACACAAATAATTATCATGATCTAATTTTCTGCAAAGTAAAAACATTGGTAATTTCTATGAGACCGGCAATTGATAACAACATTATCGAAATTCACACCTAACCAAATCGATGCAATAATTTAAAGACGATGATATATTCGAAGAAGTATTTTTTGCCCTTTTAAGCATTTTGATAATTTTTGGGGGATCCCTCCACTTGGAGGGAATTTTGGAAGAAATCATGCTACGTGACAGTTATCATCTAATCCAAAATCTGTAAAAATTACTGTACAGGGTTGCCAATAAGTTTTTCAAAGCCGTACACACGTACAAATGAAAGTACATCAAATTATGAAGTTTATCTTAAAAAATACGTGATCATTTAAATCAAAAAAAAAAAAAACTTTAAGGGAAACCCAATTTATAAATTTTTTAGTTTAAATTCATAACAAAATAAACGTAAACACTAAAATCTAAAGTTGGTAAAATTGATTGCAGAAAAAAAAATTTTTTTTTTTGAAACTCTGTTTACAATGTAAAGTAGTTTTTTTTTTTTTTTTTTTATAAAGAAGTATTTTGATCTTTTTTTTTGAAGTAATTTTTACCCTTTTGGATTATCATGATTTGTCTTGAAAAGCTCTATTTTAAAAAATGGTTTGTTTAATTATTATAAAAATTTAGTGCAAATTATAAATGTATAGTTCCTTTGGTTAAAAAAAAAAATTAATTTTTAACATTTTCGTATCTACTTTATGTACACTGACAAATTGACTTTTCATTTTATAAAAATTTTATTTTATTTTAATTTTTATGTATTTTTATGCATTTCATTTTATTTTATTTTATTTAAGGTTTGATGGTTGTAGTTCTTTGCCATTATTAAATCCATTGTGTAGGAGTTTAAGTTCAACTGAAGTATCAACTGCACTTAGGCCTTTTTATTTCTTTGTTCATCCGGATCTTTTTGGACAATTTCCCGAAGAAAGAGTATATTATTTATTAAATTTTATTCATTTTAATAGTACTAGATTAAAAGTTTCATTTATTTTTTATTGAATACAATTATACTTTTTGTTTTAGGCGATAAATGAAAATTCTTTAAAACTACTTAGCTCTTATCTTGAAACTGTACAACAGAATTCTTTTGCTAAGCCATTAAATTA